GTATATATATAATGATCACAGTACAGGTAAAGTCAAGAAGTAAGTAAGTGAGAAACAGTCGGCACAAGGCCTAGAAGAGTGCAAAAACGCTGATGGTCAACAGGCGGAAGCGCCTTGGTGAACACATCAGCAGTGTTGGCCTCAGTGGCCACGTAACGCAGAAGAAGCTGACCACGCTGCTGTAGCTCTCGAGCTAGAAAGTAACGCAGAGCAATGTGCTTCGTCCTGTGCTCCAGTCTGTGCTCCTGACACAAGGCAATGGTTGCCTTGTTGTCGACGTACAGCACTGGAGGAGAACGAGGCTGCTCTCCAAGGTCAGTCAGCAGGTAGGTGAGCCAGCGAAGCTCCTGGGCAGCCATGGCCGTGGCGTAGATCTCAGCCTCACAGCTGGAGCTGAGAACAGAAGAAGAACGAGTAGAACGCCAAGAGACAGAGCCAGAGCCAAGACTGAAGGTGTAACCCTGAGACGACCGCTGAGTAGCCTGGTCGTCTGCCCAAGAAGCGTCTGAGTGCCCAGTGAGAACAGGCCGGTCTCGCCCTCCAAGCACTAGCCCCATGCCCGACGTACTGCACAAGTAGCGCAACACCCTCTTAGCTGCATCCATGTGCTCCTTCCGGTGACGGCCGGGAGCAACATAGCGTGCTAAGATGCTGAGAGGGTATGCTAGGTCAGGTCGAGTGCAGGTCATCAGGTACATGAGGCAGCCCACAAGCTCTGGATACGGACCACTCGACTCTACGGACTCATCCAAAGGCAGAGCTGAGAGCGAGTGACCCGTAGGCAGAGGAGTGGACTGAGGCGAGGAGTACGTGAAGCCGAAGCGCTGAAGGACCTGCTGCACCATGTGTGACTGAGTCAGGGTAATGGTGCGGCGTGCTCTGTCCCGGGTGATCCGCAAGCCAAGATAGCTTGTCAGTTCACCCAGGTCTGTGCACGTGTGTCTCTTCTGCAGCTCGGACTTCACGTGGGCGAGTGCGGCAGTGTCCGCAGTGGCAAAGACCAAGTCGTCGACGTACACGAGGATGTAGAACGGCGGCAGCGAGGTGTCGGTGCGCAGAAACAGCGACGGGTCAGCAGTAGAAGGAGCAAACCCAAGAGCCGCAAGTGTAGTCCTCAGTGTGTCGTGCCACTCACGCGGCGCCTGGCGGAGACCGTAGACTGGCCGCCGGAGGCTCCACTGGGTGCCAGGAGGGAACGACCCAGTGAAGCCAGGTGGGCGGCGCAGCCAGATCTCCTCGTGCAGGCTGCCCTGCAAGAAAGCTGTGCTGAAGTCAAGAGAGTGGAGCTCGTAGTCACGCTGAGCGGCGACGTGTAGCAGAAACCGAAGAGTGGTCATCTTCGGGGTCGGGGAGAAGGTCTGGAAGAAGTCAACTCCCTCTTGCTGACTGAAGCCTCGTGCAACGTAACGCGCCTTGAAGACAGGCGGAGAGCCTGGCGGCCGCTTCACCCTGAAAATCCACATGCCACTGACGATGTTCGCCCCAGGTGGGGGAACGTCGTCGACGTAGGTGCCTGTGGACTTCCAGGAAGCCATCTCTGTGTCCATGGCTGACTGCCACTGAGAGGAGTAGGGACCGGCCATCGCCTCTGCGTAAGAGCGTGGGGTCGGGATGTCTGGTGCATCCGGGTCTCCCTCAGGGGCAACAAGCATGGACACGAGATGGGGCAAAGCAGCGGCAAGGCAACCAAACTCCTCCTGCCTGTCCTCAAGGACGTCCGTGCCAAGAGCACACTCACCCCCGACGGACGGAGGACAGGCAGACTCAGACTCAGCAACAAGACTCGCTGCGTAGTCTAGACGACACGCAGCTGCAAAGTCGACAAGCTCAGTGACTAGGGCAGACGCAGCAGCGGACTCAAAGGAAGGGTCCAGTGACAACCGTAGCCAGGAGACGTGTGACAGTAGGACTGGCAGCGCGAAGGGAGTCTGACTTCGGGTCAGCAAGAGCAGGAAGAGAGGACGCAGGAGGCGACGGGAGAGAGCAACACGCTGCGGAGCAGTGGACTGACGAAGCGCCATCCGGTGCGTGCGTGGGACAGCAGGAGGACGCTCACGCGGGACACGACTACCAGTGGTAGCAGCTCGAACAGGCGACGCTCGACGAGACGCAGGTGACACAGGACGTGACGCAGGCTCACGTCTCTCAGCAAGACCGTCAGTCGGACCAGTGTAAGGAGCAGGCACAGGGAGTGGGGAGGCAGGCGGTAACTGTGGCTGTGACTGGACAGACGGCGGACACTCTAAGGCGAGAGGAGAACAAGGAGGAGGAGGCTGACCAAGAACCTGCTGAAGGAGCGGAACGAAGTACGGTCGTGGCCGTGCAGCAGCTCTCGAACCAGCAGAGACACCAGCGGCAGCAGCAGCACCTCCAGAAGCAGCAGCACCTCCAGCACCAGGGTCCGCAGCACCTCCAGCAGCACCGCCAGCAGCAGCAGCACCTCCAGCAGCACGCCAGCAGCAGCAGTACCTCCAGCAGCACCGCCAGCAGCAGCTGCACCTCCAGCACCAGGGTCCGTAGCACCCACAGCAGCTTCAACGCCCGGGTCCTCAGTACTAGCAGCACCTCCAGCAGCACCGCCAGCAGCAGCAGCACCTCCAGCAGCACCGCCAGCAGCAGCAGCACCTCCAGTACCAGGGTCCGTAGCACTCGCAGCAGCGTCAACTCCGGGGACCCCAGCACCAGCAGCTCCACTACGGAGACTGATGTGCCGAGCGTACCACTCTCGAAGCTGAGGGGAAGAGGGCGGCTCCCGCCGTGGTGGGGAAACACGAGTACCAACTCCAGCAGCACCACGAGCCCGAGACTCACCCCGCCGGAGGCTGCAGTACCGTGAGTACCACTCACGCAGCTGCTGCGAAGAGGGAGGTCCTCCAGGCGCCTCACAGTCAACTGCAACACCACCAGGCTCAGCACCCCAGGCTCAGCAACTCCAGGCGCAGCACCCCTAGACTCAGCAACGCCAGGCTCATGTACCCCCAGACCCAGCACCCCCAGGCTCAGCACCCCCATGATCAGCACCTCCAGACTCAGCACCCCCAGGCTCCGCCCGCTCAGGCTCCGCACGCTCAGGCTCCGCACGCTCAGGCTCAGCACCTCCAGCAGGACGCGAGTCGACAGCTACCTCGGCAGGCTCAACCGGGTCTACCTGAGAGACACCTGAGGGGAGCGGCACCCTGAGGGGGAAGGGGGTCTACCACTGCAGCACCTGGCGCGAGGAAGAGAGGCGGGGGAGGGAGCGGGCAGTGCGGTAGGGGAAGAGGCGGTAGAAGGGCACGGACTCGTCAAAAGTGACGTCCTGAGAGGGGAAGACTCGGTGCGAGGCGGGGTGGTAAAACTGCCAGCCAGACGCATCCGGGACAAAGCCAAGAAAGACACAGGGAGCAGTGCGGGAGGAGAGCTTGTCCGTAGACGTGTCGCGAACAAAAGCTCGGGATCCCCAGACACGGAAGCGTGACGCATCGCCAACCTCCCCCGTCCACAGCAGTGTGGGCGAGGTCTCCGGAGCGGAGACACGGGGCCAGAGGTTGAGCTGATGCGCAGCGTACCGGACCGCAAACGGCCACAGAAAGTGGGGGGGGCAGCCGCGTGGACTAAGGAGGTACGAGCGACCTCCATGACCAAGCCAATGCGGCGCTCAGCAACCCCATTCTGCTGTGGAGAGGCCGGGAGCGTGAACGACTGGCGAATGCCGTGCTCGGCACAGTAGGCTGCCAAGAGGTCGGAGGAGAACTCGCCACCTCTGTCAGAGTGCAAGCGCAGAACAGGAAACTCCGAGCGAAAACGCTTTCGCAGCTGAAGACGTGCTCTGCTGATCCAGGGGATCATAACATCAGGGACTTCACCCTTGGTGCGCAAGGGGAAGACCGTGGTGTAGCGCGAGTAGTCGTCAACGACGATCAAGAAGTACCTCTCCTGGCCCTGACCACGGACGCGGGCTGGGCCCCACACGTCCATGTGGAGCGTCTGCAAAGGAGCAGTCGTCGGGGGGAACGAGGAGGAGTGAGGGGCAGCGCGCTGCCGCCCCTCGACACAGGGAAGACAAGGAGGAGCAAGGGAGGGTGGGAGGGGAGGGAGTACCCGAGGAAGACCAGAGACAAGGTACCGGGCGTGCATGCCCCGAAGGCGCTGCACTGACGGGTGACCAAGTCGGTGGTGCCAGAGGACAGTCTTGTGCGCTAGAGAGCGACACGAGCAGGGGGCAGACAGCTGACCCGACGCAGACGCAGACGCCGCTACCTGAGGGGACTCAGTGGTCAGTGTGTACAGGTCCGACCCCGGCTGCCGAGTGAAGGTAGCCAGGTGACGGCCCGTCCGAGCACACGTGCAGTGTGTCACACGCTCGTAGGCAGGGGTGAACTGGTGAACACCCCCATCCTGAAGCGCACAACCCGCCACCAAGTTCGTAGAGAACGAGGGGAGGTGGAGACCTGACAGTGTGCCCGACGGGACAGCAGGACAAGGAAGGAGGGTGGAGGAGGTCGCAATGACCGGACCCCAGAGGGGTCAGCGAGCGAGACAGCGACTGGTCGAGCAAGGGGCTCAAGAGCAGTGCGGTCACGAAAGAAACAGCGCGAAGCGCCTGAGTCTAGAGTGAAGGTGTGCAGTGCCTCAGTGGACTCAGTAGCACCTGGGGTGGCGGACACACACGCACCTTAGAGCAGTAGCCTCACCAGTACCTGGGGCAGCAGACACGCAAGCACCTAGGGCGGCAGCCTCACTCGTGCGGATGCCTGGGTCAGGCGGGAACACTCAAGTACTGGTCCTCCCTCCCACTAATAGTCAATGCATACATTGCTTTGAGAATAGCATCAAAATCAAGAGCATAGATATCGATATCCTTCTTGAGGAGATCAGCCCACTAAGGGAGCTCAGGAGCGTCAGGAAACTGAGCACGCCAAGCGTCATCTAGGCGAGAGAAGCTGCGCTGCAAAGTGTGCGCCCTCCCGCACGTCTGTCCCTTGCGGCGACCAGTGCGGATGACGTACGTGCAGCTAAGGCTACCCCCCCACCCCCGTGCTGTAAGTACCACTCACGAAGCTCCTGGGAGGACTGAGGGTGCTGCGCACTCTGGCCAGTGCCAGAGCCTCCACGACCACCACCGCCGCCTCCACCACGACCACCACCGCCCCTGCCGCCGCCACGTCCACTGCCGCCACCACCACCGCCCCCACCGCGGCCACCGCCGCCGCCGCTGCCTCCACCACCCCCACCGCTGCCACTAGCCCCTCCAGCCCCGCCACCGCCCCCGCCGCTGCCACCACCCCCACCACCGCCTCCCCCGCCGTCACCCCCACCGCCCTTGCCTCCCCTGCCCTTGCCGCTGCGGCGCCCGCTGGGAGCGGACGCAGAGCCGACTTGCTCAGTACCAAGAAGGTCGACAGCAGCAGCAGAGGCGACAGAGGGGAGGAGGGAGGAGGGGGAACACCCCTCGAAGAAAGGGGTGCGGGGGTCGCCACGAGAGGCACCTACAGCTACAATACTCTTCTCAGCTGCAAGTAGTTCCTTCTCTAGGGCGGTAATGGTGAGCTCAGTGGGGCAGCGAGCTAGGAAGTGGTCCTTGACTGTACGCATAGTGTCAGGGAGGCGGGTGACTAGGTGGTAGAGAGTGAGCCAGAGCGGGGGAGGGTTGGAGGCAAGAAACTCAGCGGGCATGGCTGCACGGAAGCGGGCATCACTAGTACGGAGGTGAGTGATGAGGTCAGCGACTGTCTGGAAAGCGGACAGGTCGGGGAACAGGTAGGGAAGGGAGAGACGGCCTAGTGCAGCTGAGGCCGGGGAGGAGTAGCGCGCAACTACAGCAGTGTATAGGGCCTGCGCAGTCTGATGCTGGCCAAAGTGCTCACGCTCATCTACTGGCAGGGAGTTGCGAATAGCAAAGCGGGTGTGGGCATCGCGAGTCTGCCACTGCGAGCGAGCAGTAGCGGTAGCAATAGTAGCAGGAGCAGGGACTGTGCCTAGTGCGTGATCGTACAGCGAGATATCCTCTCTGGCAGTGAGCTGGAGGAACAGATGCAGATCATCGAGCCAGGTATCAAACTTAATCGGGCGGCCCTCAGAATCGAACGAGAGAACTGTAGGGCTAGCCATAGCTGAAGTAGCAGTAGCAGCAGTGGTGGTAGTAGCAGTAGCAGTAGCAGTAGCAGTAGCAGTAGCAGTGCTGTGCACAGGTAAGTAGGGCGCGGCTCGGCTAGGGCGGCGCGGCTCGGCTAGGGCGGCGCGACTCGGCTAGGGCGGCGCGACTCGGCTAGGGCGGCGCGGCTCGGCTGGGGCGGCGCGGCTCGGCTGGGTCGCGCGGTTCGGTTCGGGTCGCGCCGTGCGGCTCGGTCGTAGAGGGGCGAGCGCAAGAGGGCCGGTCGGGGCTAGCGCGGGGCCAAAGGGGGGGGCCGTGAGAGGCTAGCGCGGGGCCTGCAGGGGACGTGGGAGGCTAGCGTGGGGCCTTAAGGGGCCGTGAGAGGCTAGCGCGGGGCCTGCAGGGGCCGTGGGAGGCTAGCGCGGGGCCGACGGGGGCCTTAGGAGGCTAGCGCGGGGCCGATCGGGGGCCTTAGGAGGCTAGCGCGGGGCTAGCGTGGGGCCGACGGGGGCTTAGGAGGCTAGCGCGGGGCCGATCGGGGGCCTTAGGAGGCTAGCGCGGGGCTAGCGTGGGGCCGACGGGGGCCTTAGGAGGCTAGCGCGGGGCCGATCGGGGGCCGTGAGAGGCTAGCGCGGGGCCATACGGGGCCTTGAGAAGGAGGCGCTCGAGGCGCAGGAAAAAGAACGGCGGCGCACGAGGGCGCAGCTAGCGGAAACGGTGGGCCCTATCGTTTCGGTCCTAGGTGGAACCTAGGCTCGTAATACCATGTCAAAATGAGAAACGAGAATGAGGAGTGACTAGCAGGAACAACAGTACAAATATGTCAAACCCTAATCTGGTGTACCCCTTATGGTGTGACCCACTACAGCCTAGAACCACACAAACATATAATGTTTGACAACAGCATGGTCCATTGCTGCTGGCCACTGGTGGTTGGGTAGCCGCATGCCACGTAACAGTTTGCGCATGCTGTTCTGCAGAGTCCTGTTCATTCTTTCTGCAACACCTTGCTGCTGATGTGCGTAGGGAAGGGAGAGGAGTTGCTTGATTCCCCTTTCCGCCAGGTACTGCTTGAAGCGCTGAGAGGTGTACTCGCCACCTCCGTCTGACTGGAAGCTTTTCAGCTGCGTTCCTGATTCCCTCTTTGCTATCGGTAGCCAGGCGGCGAAAGCTGCGAGTGCCATGTCGCGGCTGGGTAGGTTGCAATGCCAAACGTATCGAGTGGCGGCGTCGATGAAGGTGATCGTGTAATTATAGGTCACTTGGCCTGGTTCTCGATTGTAGAGGATGTCGCTATAGACCTTTTCGAGTGGTGCGTATGCAGGTGCGCTCGGGTTGTGATGAGAAGAAAACGGTCGATGGGGTAAGTCGGCTTTAGGGCAGATGTGGCAAGTTCCTCGTGCCCGTTGAAGTTCTCTCCCGTCGAGTAGTAGTAGCGAATCTTTGTCAAGCACTCCTGCTCGTATCGTATTGTTTAATACCGTGTTGCTTGGATGCCCTGTGCGTGCGTGCCAGATTTGGAGTAAAAACTGGCGACGAAGTTGGCGCTGCGGTGGACTTCTCGTTGAGTAGGGTTCAGCTGTTGTGCGGGGTGTTGGGTTCTTCGTCGACGATGACTGATGTTGTTGTTCGTGCTGCTGCCGATGTTGTCTCTGCTGCTGCTATTGTTGTCTCTGCTGCTGCCAGTGTTGTCTCTGCTGCTGCCGATTGTTGAATTGTTGCTAATGCTCGTGTTCGCTCTGCTTCAGGGATGGTGTGTGAGTACCAGAAGCCTCCTGGGCTGAAGTCGGGATCGAGGTCCGGAGGGTGTGTCCAGTCGGTAAAGTTGACGATGGCGTCGCTGTCTGCAGTGCCTAGGTCGGGGACGAAGTCAAGAACGAAGACGTTGTTCTTCAACACTGCTCTCCCGATGTAGAGACCGCCCCTCCCGTGGTATAACTTGAACTCCTGGGTGGTGCTGTCGGCTTCCAGGTGAATCCCCTTCGCCATCAGCTGGCTAACACTCAGTAAGTTGTAACCAAGTCCTTCTGCGATGAGTACTTTCGACATGTGTAGTATGACGTTGGTTTCTCTTGATTGAAGCTGAACGACTCCTTGTCGTCTTGTGCGCAGGTTTTGGTTGTTGGCGACCGTGATGACTACTTCTCGCTGGAGTCGATGTTCGCGTTGTACGAAGCGCCCGGAGGAGCACATGTGTTGCCCGCAGCAACTATCCAAGAACCAAGTGTCTTGGCCGGACGGTTCGCTTTGAGCGATTGCGGCGTACGTTGGATTCGGCTGGAGTGATTCGCGGCGAGGCGTCCTGTTGTCAAGCTCTTCTTCCGGTGAGTAGTGCGGTGGTGATTCGGTTGTGCACGAGTCGTTTATCTTCACCATGCAGTTGACGATGCTTCTTGTTCCTTGTGCAGGTTGTCCAGTTGAAGTCGTTGAAGTTTGGATCGTGGTCGTCGGACTTGCTTGCGTTGAAGCAACTTGGGAGCTTGAACGCCGCAGTTGTCGCTGTGGTGTCGTCTGACGAGACGGGCAATGCGTGCGAGGATGGCCCGAGGTCTTGCAGATGTGGCAGAACGGAGGTACCGTTTTCACTTGCTGTTGTCGATTGTTGTTGCCGTTGTGTCGACGCTGAGTGTGAAAAGCAAATTCTGGTGCTAATGCTTTCAAATTGTGTCTTTCTTCTTGCAGGTCCATGTCCTGTTGCTCAGCATGAATTTCGGCGCAGAGTGCCGCTTCGGAGATCCTCCCGTGTGCTCGTAATATGGCGCGAGTGGAGCGCCAGTGGGGGCCGAGACCACCGATGACCACCGTGACAAAGGCGTCTTCTGAAATTGACCCGCCGCATCGAAGAAGCTTGTCGCGCAGTTCGCGGCAGCGGCTGATATAAGCCATGCCTTTCTCGCCTGGTTTCATTTCAATCGTTGTAAACTGTGCCATTAACCTGCTTTGGTTTACGCTGTCTGTTGCTTGATACAGGTTCTTCAGATGGTTGTACGCGAGCTCCGCGGAGTTGCCGTAGCCTCGGTAAGTCCTGATGTTCTGCTGCTGGGTTGGGGTGATGTTCCTCAGCAGAATCGTGTACGCCATCATCGACTGATATGCATATTGCTGCTTCTCATATTGTGTCCCGTTTGTTGGATATGGCAGGGACCCGTCGAAGAAGCCAAGAATCTGTGCTCCTTCCATCATCAGTTCGAACTCGAACAACCAGGTGAAGAAATCTTTGCCGTCGAAAGGCTTTGTTGTCTGTAGTTTTAGGACATGCGCGAATTGCGATTGGACTTGTAACGCATCCAATGTCCTTTCTTGTCCCGACGCAGGTTGCGGTTGCGGCACGAAGCTGACGGAGCCACGTTGGGGCTCGTACGGCGCAAAGGTAGGCTGCTGTTGTTGTTGTTGAATCCGCGTGCGTAGTAGGATGAGCCGTCGAGACTCATCGGAGTAACGTTGTTGTTGTTGCTGTTGTTTAACTGCGCAGGCACTCCTTGCTGGTGTTGCTCGTAGAAGGACATGAAGGAGAAAAAATTTTCCATCATGTTTGGATCGAAGCCTGCGGGTGTTCCGTGGACCCAGCTGCTGGTCTTGCGGTAGTGCCTTCCTCTGTCTGTAGACCAGAGGCAAGAGGTGGAGTAGGAGTAGTGCTTGGTGAGCCGTTGGAGGAGCTCCTCTCCTTCCTTGCAGACATGTCTAATTTCTTTGTATTGAGTGTTGAGAGAAAAGATAGCCGTTATACTCTAACTGCTCTGATACCATGTTGGGCTGAGAAGCCCCAGGATCTTTGTAGAGTTTAAGGACTGAGTAGGATTGTAATAGCGGAAGCGTTTGAATGAAAGTCATTGAACCACCTTGAGCTAGTATGTGAGGGCAAAGTAAAGTTGATTAAACAAGCAAATACAAAGGTTTATATAAGAGTACAAGGAATACGAATGAATAGGTTTAAACCGTTTTACTGTTGCGATTCGATACAGTGCGACTCGGGCAACTGCTCAATGTCGAGTCAGTTGTGTGTCCTTGCTGTCGCGCTGTAATTGTCGAGTCAAAGGTCGCTGACCTTTGACTTTCTTGTAACCTCCAGGCGGTTACCCTAACCTCCGAGGGTTGACTCGCGATGCTTCGATTCGGACTGCTTTGCTAGCGTCCTGAGTTTCGACACGACAGAGGCGCTTAAGACTTATTGTTCCCAACAAGTGCAATTCTCGCTACCTCGATTCATTGCAACCGTAACACCTGTAAACATTAAATTCACTAGCAAAACCTGAAGCCACCTCTTGACAAGTGTTCAGTGGCCTCCTGTACAAATCAATGTGCCTCACCACAGGTTATCCCATTGGTCAGGTTGCCACAAAAGTATATCTATGCACTATGCCTAGTGTACACTAGCTTCCTATACTGTGCAAAGTTGCGAGGCGAATCAAAAGTAGCGTACTATGACAAGTGGTCAATGGCCTCTTGTACAGTATCAATGTGCCTAACCAGCTTGTCCATTGGTCAGGAGGAAGACTGATACCTGCATGAAAAGAGAATACAGTCAAGAAGAAAAGAATGGTAAGGAGGTGATGAACTGGAAAACGCTTGCCCGCACACAAAA